CGCCGACCACCACTGAACGGACACCCCGTCTGCAATTGGATCGCCGCCCCGGCTACCCACTCGTAGCGGTACTCGTAAACGGCACCCAACAATCTGACCGTATCACAGCGGGAATGCCAACCTACTTGCGTTTAGCACGGCCGCCGACCATCGATGAAACCATCGAGCTGTTTACCCTGGCGCCGGATCAGGCCGTGCCATTCATGCTCATGGCACGCTACTTCGACCGCCGCAACCAACCCGATCCAGGTGTCCCACCGCAAATGCTCGTCATGGGTCCTCCGGGCACAGGCAAGACTCAGTTCGTACACGCACTGCTGTGGTACACGTACCAACATGACAGTCCTGACTGGGCCGCCACGTGCGCATACTCTTGGGCCGCCGCGATCGCGTTCAACACCCCAGTCCATCGCAGCCTATCTACCCACTCCATGTTCGGCATCTCAGCCAGCCAAAGCGGCTCCCGTGGCACCAACTTTCCTAAGCGCGGCGCACATGCTGGCCTTCAAGTAAAACACAACGTCGGCGACGGCGCTGTGCTCATCGACGAAATTGGCATGCAAAGCCACGAGCACCTCGGCGCCATCAGCCACTCCTGCACAGCCAGTCTGCCGCCTCCGCCACACCTTGGGCCCGCCCATGACAGCAGCCGCGTCTTATCCGGCCGCGCCGCGGGCGGAATCGGCGACCTGCTACAGCACCCTCAGCCAGGCGGTTCACCACCGTACCGCTACGCCGCCGACGTTGAGCGAAACCCCCAGTTCACTCCCTCGGCACCGACAGCACAACGCACACCAGCTTCACTTGACGAAGGTCGAGGTCACCGTCATGATGACAGCAACAATGACAACACTGACGCAGACGACGACACCGGCAACCGTCGCGCCACCACCTCCACACGTCGCACTCGTCGCCCCGTGCCACAGACGCACACCCGCCTACACGACGGCTTCAACCTGTACCGTCAGCTCGGCGGCACCGTATTCATGCTGCAGAAACAGCAGCGGCAAGACAACAGCCCATCTGGCCAGCAGCTTACCCGCTTCGCAACCATGTTCGGCGGCATTCCAACCACTGAAGCACATGTCGCAGATCTAGTAGACGCACTCAACCAACGCGTCATCACAGATTTGTCCGATCTCACAGACCTCGAACCCCGCGTCGTGCTGCAACGGAACGAACCCAGGCACGCGCTCAACACACGCCTCCTGATGCTCCAGGCGCGCCGCAAAGGAGCGCGTTTGGTCAGCTGGAATGCGGACCACGTCCCGGTTAGGCAACATGGCGCAACCCAACAACAGGCGCTCTCACACGTCGAAAAGGCTGTCGCAATGCGAGTAAAAGACGCCACCTTCGACCACACCACCGCCGACACTTGGTACTACGAGGGTGCACGCTACACCCTACTCGACACCACAGCTGCCGACGCCGGCGCGTGCCACAACAATGAAGTCGAGGCGTGTGGCCTGCTTACCGACAGCCGTGAACCGCCTGACGATGGCCGCGGCCCGTACTGGCGCCTCCACTACCTACCCGCAGCCGTCTTGGTCCGTCCCATTAAAGGGCACGCGCCCAAAGCGGTGCTAGCAGACTTATCGGACTTCGCAGCCAAAGGTGCTGCCTTCGCCATCGTACCACGGCCCTCGCCGGCAGCAAACATCACCGTGCCAGCCGCCAACACCGGCACCACCACCAAAAATGTACGTCGAGTCAATGTACCGCTTGGTGACTACTACGCCGTCACCGACTACTTCGTACAGGGCCGTAGCTTCAAGGAAGAATGCTGGGTCGCAGACCTTTCCGTCCCGCCCGGTGGCCTCAAGCGTGCAACCATGTACGTGTTGCTCACCCGCTACAAGACACTCGACCACATCCGCCTCCTGCGCCCGCTCTCTACCACACCCGATGAACGAACACGAGTCGTCAAACAGTTCATGGCAGCAACCAAGCTGGACCCCGACCTTGCGGCCGAACTCCGCCTCCTGGATCGCCGTGCAACCGAAACACGTGAACGCTATACGACCGAGTACAAACACGCCAGAAACCTAGAGGAGCGTTGGACCTCCGCAGCCAACACCACCTGACACGTAAAACAGTTCGTCTGCCTCGCCACTGGATGGCGTTAAATGCCAGCGTTGCACGGCTCTCTAGCCGTCCGACGACACGCCCGCACGGCTGGGTGCATCCCTTGCACTTGTGGGTTCGACTCCCACACGGGTATACTACAAGTATACGCACGCTCCGTCATACTCCTGCCGCCCAGCCGGGGGACTACGGCCCCCTCGCGGGCGACGCAGCCCCCGTCTAGTGCTACACTATGCTACGGAGCTACGGCCCACTCGCGCGAACAGCGCGCTCTGGTCTCTTCGTCTCTCCGTCTGTCCACCACGTCGCCGGTTCAACCCTTATCGCGCCGCTTTATTTTTTTTCGCCGCTATGTTTTCCAAACTGTCCAGACTTCAACGCACACCAACTTTTACACACAGACTTTTACACACAGACTTTACACACAGACTTTTACACACAGACTTTACACACAAACTTTTACACCGAACTTTTACACACTAAACATGCTAAGCGTTTAGCTTTGCGCGTTAAATTTCCCGCAAACTTCAGCGCGCAAACTTCAGCGCGCTGCCTGCTGCTGAAATTTGCATGTTGAACTACTCAAGTTCAACGCACGAAGCCCGACACGTAAAGCTCAACATCCAAACTTCAACACACATCAAACTTGTACACACAGCTCAGCGCGCAAGGTTGAACACTCAAGTTTGCACGTTTAACTGAGCGTGTTCGACTTTCCTTTCTGTGCACCTCAAACTTTGCGCGTCAACTTGTGACTGCGTGCTCAACTTTGCGCACCGTGCGCGAAGTTACGTACTATGCTTTGCGACCTTAAATAGACGCCAATATAACGTGCAATATAACGTGCTCACAATAGAACGCGCTTCAATTCAACTGTCAACCGATTCACCTCCAACTTTGCACGTCGACTTGTGATACGACCCCAACTTTGCATACTAAACTTCGCGTGCTAGGCGTTGAACTTTGCACGTTAAATTTTGTTGTGCATCCAGCTTCGCACGTTTAATTTCCTGTGCTGAGCGTGTTTGACTTGCATTTGCACGCACCTCAAACTTTGTACGATGCTATACTTCGAAGCGCGCTATACTTCGAAGTACGTCGTCTTGTCGGACGTTCCTCACTCTTCATGCGCGTGCAAACAATAACGATTACAGTGGTCCTCATAGCGACGTATACCGTCGACTATAAACCTTGTGGGGAGTCGCGGTCATAATAGTATTTCACCAAGGTTCGCCCAAGGTTGGTGAAATCTGACGAATGAGTTCCGATCGGGATATGAAAACAAGGTTTATCATATCAAGGTTGCACATATGTACGTGCGCTAGAGGTATAAAAACTAGACCTGCCTGGAATATATAGCTAAATCCTCCGCGTATCACATAACAAGCTCGATCTTCCCCTACTTAGCCTTCTGCCTACCTTTCCTTCAACACCATAGGACTTCTTGCTCTTTCTATCGCGTCGTTTTTTCGCGTCCTCTGCCATTGCTGATCTGCTTTCCTTAACAGCTGCATTAGTACACGTACTCACCTCATCAGGTCAGCCTCCATGTCGGACCAGTCACCTCCTCCGAAGCGGATTCGGCTTGGCTCGCTTGCAGACGGCTTCCGTGGTGGAAGAATCCGCCCGTTCAGTAATTTGAGTCCAGGCCATGCATCTGAGCAGCAACTACATGCTGCAGCACAGCAGACAGCCAGACGACTCAATTCAGCAGGGTCTGCAGAGGACCGGCGCCAGCAAACGGCAGCTGCTGTTGATACACAGTTGGAGGAGCAGCCCCAGGATGCTGTGCCTTCTGCTGCAGAAGTACGGGAGAGATGGCGGCGGCAGAAAGCTGTGCAGCGTGCGTCAGCCCTTCCTGAGTTACGGTTGTTGCAGCGGCAGCAGGATGCTGCACGGCACGCGGGTGCACGTGCCGATCCGGATGTGAGGGCGCGGGAGCAGCTGCGTAACACTGCACAGCATGCAGCTGTGCATGCTGACCCGGCGGTGAGGGCACAGCAGCAGTTGCGTGATGCTGCACAGCATGCAGCTGCACATGCTGACCCGGAGGTGAGGGCGCAACAGCAGCTGCATAACACTGCACAGCATGCCACTGCACATGCTGACCCGGAGGTGAGGGTGCAGCAGCAGTTGCGTGATGCTGCACAGCATGCAGCTGCACGTGCTGACCCGGAGGTGAGGGCGCAGCAGCAGCTGCGTGATGCTGCACAGCATGCAGCTGCACGTGCTGACCCGGAAGTAAGGGCATTCCAGCAGCAGCGGAACACAGCACAGCATGCGGCTGCACGGCAGGCGCAGCAGCATAACCAGCAGGCCGCCCCTAGGGATACACTATTAGCTCGCATGCACCGTCTCCTGCGGTTCATGGACCTCCATCAGGATGAAGCCATTGACTTGCCCGACTTTCTTTTGGCGCTTCCAGAAGGCCGCGTGCAGGACCTTCCTGGCGGCCAGTTGCCGCTTGACAGGCAGGTACCATACGCAGTACAGCTGCAATGTGCATCGACCATGGCTGCTGCTTTGCGCCGGCGCATGCCCTCCCGTGTCTGTGCTGTGTGCTCGGAAGTGTGCTCGGAGGACCAGTCGGCGGTGCTGCCCTGGATGGAGATCCCCAACGTTGACATTTTACGTGCAGACATCATGTGTACGGACACTGTGCAGCGCTGCGTCTGTATTTTTTTCGGTCGTCTATATCCTGAAGACCCGTCTATTAGACGAGTCATCTACAATAGTTCGTCTAAAGTCGAGTCGTCTATACATGTCGTCTATAGTCGATTCATCTATTGTAGATGAAGAATAGACGATGGGTAGACGGTGAGAGGAGTTCAATATGCTGGAGAGTGTCTGCTTGGGTTAAACCATGCCGCTGAGCTGATGTCTGTTCTGCATCAATGTTGGCAAGGTTCTGGCAGGCTAACACTGCCTGGCATGTAACGATTATCGCCATACTTACAAAACCCCAGCACATGCTGTGGGGACCAGGCAGTGCCCAGCCTCTCCCACTTCCTTACCACAAAACTGTAGCAGTTTGAGATAATTGGGCAGACTTCAGTGAAGCCCACCCCTCATCGACAAGCCCACAACAAAGGCTCGTCATGGTCCTTTATAACTGCAATGTCTGGCAACTTCCCAGCACAGGCCGGCTGGTTTTGAAAACTCTCACCAGCACAGGCTGTGATGAACAGCCATTCCAACCAGTGATTTTTTTTTCATTTAGGGGGGGTCTCAATTTATTCCAACCTAAGTAACAAAGTTGCTAGCGTCGCCGTAATGTATTCCTTAAGA